TTCGGTGATGTTAAATCATTCGTAAGAGACTCCCAACTAAGTTCAAACAAATTAATGATAAATATAGATTTATTCTTCCTAATGATGCTAAAATTTGGTTTAAACTTAGTTGGGAGTCTCTTACGAATGATTTAACATCACCGAATCTAAACAAACTAAAGTATAACAGAGAAGATGAAATATTTTTTTTAAAATGTTATACAGCATGTGAGTATTTAATTTTGGTCATTTTTATTAGACGCAATTCTGATAAAAGATTTATTTTAGTCGAAATATATTCTTGAAATACAAAGACATCACTATAACGGAAATTTCTGAGGAAACTTGGTTGACAGATACAATTCATCAATTTTTAAAATCTGCTGTGCATGATATTCCTGGGCTGTGTGTTCACTCGTAAACTAGAAAAATTAATTTAGTATAACTTATAATGAAGAATTTTTGACCATCTAACGCTAATACTTTCACGTTTTAGCACATATGCTACTCTTTCGAGGCACCTCAGAAATGAAGAAAATTATAAACCAGACAGAACTAAAAGATTAAAACTTGAAGACAATCAGTTCGAAATTCTATACATAGAAGGTACAAACCCAGAATTGAAAGAAAGAAAGCGTCAAGAAGACGCAGAAAAACTCCAGCAGCTTATAAAACTAAATCTTGATGAACTTCTAAGAAACCTTCAGCATACATATAGAAATAAAATAAATGAAAACATTGCAAAAAAAAATTATGATAATCCTCTTATTACAATTCAATCTACTCGTAGATATTATTTTTTAAGTTTATTCTCTAATTAATTTTTTTATAATTTAGAATTTTACTCATCAAAATAAATATTTTTAGAAACATCATTAATTTTGACAATTAGTAACAGGAAAGCTCACCCATTGATATGTACTACCACTTTCCATAATATTAAAATACTATTTCTAACTAAAGATCACGTTCTACAACTGTCAAGAGGATTGAAATTAATTTCAATATGTGGGAAATTCGAAATGTGTTAAAAATTATTTCTAATAATTGGAAAAACATTTTAGACAGCATGAAAGAAATAACAATAATATCAGCAGAACAACGAGTAAAAATTGATGAAAATATTCCTCAATTTAGAAACTTCATTCCCGGGCAATATCAACCAATACAATACTCTTATAATTAAATTGTTTTTCAAATTTATTAAATGTTTTATCAATAAAATTGAAAAATGGGTGCAATGTTTCTCATGTCTTCCTAACACATTCTACAAGTTACGTCATTAAATGATCTTTTTTATTTTCTGTTATGCAACCAAGATTATGCATTTCTTTTAGATATCAACTTTAATTGTTTAGTTGGATAATGCATGAAAGCATATGAAATAACTTATCCAAATACAGTAAAACCTCTATAAGTGCACTCTCTATGATGGGGTATTTCAAATACTAATTAGGCAAAATGATGTAAGGATCAATAATAATAGATTTTATGCATAAAATTGATTTGTACAAAAAATTTTTTTTTAGCAAATCTTGTAGCAAACTATTGGCACGAAATAGCCAAATGAAGTTACAATTTAAAAATTTTAATTAATCGATTATTTTTGATTATTCCATTAGTAGAAATTTTTTCTTTTGTTTCGCTATATATGCCCTGGCTAAATGATGAGCGTTTGTCATGAATTGGTCTTGATAATCAAAATTTTAAAATAGTAATTAAGTTATGTGGTTTGGTTTTTAATCATATTATGTGTAAAATTTTATTAAAAGTTATTATGATAGTTTGAATGCTGGACTATTTTAAAATCAACTTTTATGAATGGTAAACATTTTAATCATGACTTTGATAATATTATAGGTAAAGCTTCATTGTAAAGTTTTGTAATAGTTTTAATGCTGAATCTTTGAAGATTCGGGAGAAAGAATGTTGCCGGGTATATTAGGATCTTCATGGGTGCAAAAATATTAGATAATACGTAAAAATCTGTACTAGTATTTTATTATAATACCTTATATAGACTTGATTATTTAATATATAAAATACCCCACTATGAGTGCACACCCTCTCTAAATGCATGCTTAAATTTGGGCCCAAAAATATACATGACCTCTATAAATGCACTTTTCTTATTATTCTCTTAAGTGCACGTCATTAAAGTCGGTCCCGAAGGCGTGCACTTATGGAGGTTTTACTGTTCTTTAGTTCAAAAAATGCTTTAAATTAAAATTCATAGAACCTGGCAATTTGGCGGTATATCATTAATTGAGTTCAAAAAATTGCAATTAATTGCCCCCACA